ACAAAAAGAACCTGTGCTATGCCAGATCGAAAAAAGCACTAAAGAACCTCTCTTTAGATGTGGCCAAAAAATGTGTGAAAACGTATTCTTCATCTAATTAAGCAGTACAATACCCTGAGGAAATGGGTAAGCTAACCTGGTTGCACAACTAATCACAAAGAAAAATCAATGATTGTAATGATATTTTAGTTGGAAAACCAAAATTACAACAAATACAAAAAGGAAAGTGGTCAAACATAAGACTGACTGATCTAGAATGACTTAATTTTCCCGCGAAATACTTTAATAATCCGAAACTTCCATGATGCCACACAAACCTCTTCAACGTGCCGACAGAATGTTAATTTCTAATTAATTCGTTCCCATGTCACTCAAACGTCAGAAATTACATTCATCTAAGATTAGAAACACAACTTGTTTGTTCAGTAATATTAGGTTTTCCGTTAAAAGTAAAAGTGAACACAATACTATAAACAGTAAAGAGTAGATATAACCTTTCTTCTTTGGTGATCAAAATACTTTTCCAAACATAATTTACAATCCTTATATAAAGACCAAAAGAAAAAATGAATAAAAAAAATTATTTCTCAGATTATCCTAGAGTACAACTGAATTAAGAGATTATATTGGAAAGGTCACCTTGTTGACATTAAAAATGTTTACTGCAACATATAAAGTGATGTACCTAGTTTATCATCTTGAGAGGTTATCATGAGTGGCATTTTTCCATCTACAGCATTAGCTGAACCGAACATCTTCATCCGCTCAACCTTTGCTGACAGCCTAAACAAGAAATTCATCATTAGGAGAGACCTGCCACACATTGTCACCATCATTAATATCCTTAGAACTCCCATTAATCAATTTAGAATCATATCCTAATCCTACGTTTCTGTAGTTTTACCTCCTTTTAACTTTTCTCTGTGGGGACCCTTGAGCGACCTTATAAGCTATGCTGCATTAGGGAGGCCTTACAAGGTTAGGACAGCTGTCTAAGGCTGCAAACTTGATGACTTACTTTTTCACCTTTTCTGATAGTTAAGATCAAGTCACCTTGGGTAATCTCCCATCAAAGCAAGCTTTAGAAATAAAAAATTCAAATTTATGCACTCTGGCCCAATAGGTCTGATGTTAAAAATTCTCATGAAAAAAAAAAAATAAATAAAAAATAAAAAAAATGTGAAAGTGAAAATTTTTCTTGTAACTGTACCATGAATCATAGAGGTTTGGAAAAAACCTTTCAAATCCTTAGAATGCAAATTAATTGCCTTATGAATTCCTATTTGACATTTTTTGGTTTCTCACTGCTGTCAAGACAAAATCATCCCTAGATGTTGAATATGTTCAACTTACTTGATTGCTTGTGCCGATGGTCTTTGGGAGAGCTCTGCAGAAAGATCCTGGAAACTCAGTTTGGCAACAGCAACTGACCTAAATGGGAGACAGGTCCCTCATCATATTCTAGCTTCATGTTAGCTTGGGAAAACTCCCCATAAAGATCTAAACATTTTCCAAAGCAACCTACAAATTATGGAGGAGTGATAGTTTGCATAATGTTTGAGATATTCCTCTACCATAGGAAATACAAAATAACAAAACTCACAGAAGCTATCATCAGTCCTTTGAAATGGGATTGCATTGAGAGATTTCAATTGAGTGTTAACAGTAATCTAAGACTGCTTAAACAATGCTTTACTATGCTGTGTGATTGGTAAAAAAAAACTCATTCCATCCTGTCAACCAATTAGATACAAAGCTAAGACCAAACTTATCACTACTTTCCCCAGGTTTCTCACATGTTAAGTCATTTCACCTTGGGTTAAAATATATACAACATTTTATCGTATTAGCTTTATGATAAAAAAATAACCATGATGGCAAAAGCAACTCATATTTTCATGGCTACATCAGTTCTGAGAAAATCAAATCAATTTTCTAGTACGTTTGCCTTAAGAAACAGTTTTATTCAACACTCACTTGGCAGCTGCATCATCTCTTAAAGCCACACTAATCTGCTTCAAAATCACCTCAACTTTATTTTCCACATACTGCAGAATAATCCAGGTAAAAACCAAAAATACTGCTAGATAATAATACAATCAGGATGCTTTAAGTGCTCACAGTTATAGGGGTGACAGCATTTTTCGATGAGTAAAATGAAGTCAAAGAGACAATAAGCATCAAAGTTAGTTGAAACGTTGTGTCATTTTGAAAAATTATTTTAATGTGTAGAAAAACACTACCGTTTGGTCTAACTCTAAATTCTTGACAAAAATCCCCTCCCCAATTCAATGTTGCCTGTTGTACAGGGCCCCACGTAGCTAAAAGATACTGGAAGCAAGATAAGACATTGTTTTGGGGGAAAGGAGCAAATAGGTTAACAAAGACAAGACAAAGGAAATAACAATGAAGAAATGGGAGATTGAAAGTGTCACTGTGTCAATAACTTTGTGGGCAGTTGGAGCTACTGTATATTTTTGGGCCAAACAAACAGTAGAGACAACAGAATTGGCTTTTTTTTTTCTTCCAAGGCAAATATAAGTCAAAATATAGAAGTTAAATTGCTACCGTTTTTGTGAGATTTTAAAGAATTTAGGTAAGAATGTTTTTTACTAAGCAAGTACCTCCTTGGGGAATACTGTTATGGTTTCTCCTTCACTGTAACCAATGGCACTGTACAACTTCTCCAGTTCTTCTTTTTTCTGATCTTCAGTTAAAATTTCTGTTTAGATAAGGGTGATCAAGCTATTTTCATTTAAATTGCTAATCCATGCAGGCATGAGATTCAGCACTCTGTGGTATACTTATATGATGATCTTGAGATAAAAGCCTTACCTGATTCATCCTCCTCCTTCTTGCTTTTCTTTTTGCCCCAGAACCTAGAAAACAAACTGCCACTCTTCTTCTCTTCCACTTTCTTCTTCTTTTTCCTTAATGCTGCAGCTTCCTATGGTGCAAAACTTAAAGTGAACTCCTATATTTTTGAGAAAAGGCCAAGTGGCTCTTTTTGTCTACTGTTTCCAGGTCAAGTTGAAATTTGGAACATTGGCTTCTGTATGGAGAGGAAAACTGGAGGTCCTGGATAAAAACCCTTGGAGTAATGACTAAAAAACAATAAAAAGCTAAGCCCACAGGTGATCCAAGGTTTGGGAATTGCACCCAGGTCACAGCAGTACAAGACAAACCCTCTAACCACTGCTCCATCCTGGCTTACTCTCACACTTGCTCTTACTATGCCTCTACCTACCTAAGAGTATGACTGTGTATTGGCAAACTATTAAAGAGACAGGGAGGGGGGGCACTGCAAAGGACAAGCATCCCATTTGATGGGAGAAGGAATATGCCATATTGCTTCATGCTTCATATAAGGAAACCAATTGAATGCACAAGCTCTCTAGATGAGAGCCCTTTAGCTCACCTGCTGTAGACAAAAAGACCAGCAACTCAAACTGTTACAGTTTTTAAATTGCTGACATCAACACAAACCTCATAAGCAGCCTGGCATCGACAAATGGTGATATTCAACACATCCAACTTGCTCTCAAGTGCCTGAAGATTAATGATTTTATGAGAGATTAAGCATGCAATAATAACATGCTGAGGTGGAAAGTTGCTATCTATGTCATGTAAATCGTTGACCTACCTCTAGGTCTTTTGACAATGATTCAGAAGCTTTGTCTCCCAGTAACTTTTTCTTGTACAAATTTTTGTATTCCCTGCAGAGATCCCTGAAGAAAGAAGGAAAGGCATGAAATCAACTTTCCATTTATCAGAAGGATAGACTATTTCTGGTCAGTTATTTGACAGTGATACCTATGTTCCTTCATGTGTGTCCAAGACCAGTTTCTTAATCTCCTCCTAACATCTTCCTCAAGAATGCTTGTAATGGCATAACTCCACCTGTTTCCAGGAGGAAATGTAGATAATGTTCCCAAAGTAAATGTAGACTGCAATTAACACCATCACAATTACATGTAATTATGGACCAAAGGTATACTGTAACAAGAGAAGTAAAACTTGGAAGAGCTTCCAACTTAAACTCAAATTCAATGACACGAAAATACCAGCTCTTTTGTTTCAACCAAAAGGAGTAGAAATGTAATGCTAACTCAAGACCTTCACAGCATAAAAGATGACATCAAATTCCTACACCCAAGTTTGTAGACAAGTCAAGGCTGACAATATTTCAGGTAGTAACAAAAATAACAGATGTGAGATGAAATTACCACTGTGCAGCATGTCCATGGAGAGGGACATTTGGTTTGTACTTTCTAAACACAGAATTTGTGGTCATTCTGTCAAAGGATTCCAGCAACTCAATCATATCATGGTACTGCTGTCTCATCAAAACTAGAGATATCTCTTCCAAGACCAAGCTTAGGAAAATCTGCATAAACGATGTGTAAATGAAAAGATTAAATTCTTCATGAGGCTGAATGTAATTTAACTGAGGTAAAACCAAGCCATTGTA